AGTTTGAACAAAATTCATTTGTAAACAGCCGAGAAATGCTTGATTTTTAGGATTTTTCAGCACAAAAATGGCCGCCATTCGGCCATCTTGAATCAGATCATAAAACAAAATGATGTGCATCAAGGTCCTATAATGTCTAATGTATATACTAAGTTTGAACAAAATCCATCTGTAAACACCTGAGAAATGCTTGATTTTGATGATTTTTAGCACAAAAATGGCCACCATTCGGCCATCTTGAAACAGAACGTGAAACAAATTGACGTGCATATGTATAATATCATATATGATGTATGTGTGAAGTTTGATTGTGATTGGTCCAGGCATTTCTAAGATACAGGTCCGGACGCACGCACAGACGCACGCACGGAGGTCAAAACATAAGTCCCCATTTTCGGACTGCGTCCGAACGGGGACTAATAAGTATAGCATTGACACACCTCTATCACTTACATACACTGTCATAAAATATGCAAATTTGTCCTGACTGCAATGCAAAACAGAGACTTGGATCAGAGCTCAAATCAAATAGAGTAGTTAGCAAAGAGGATACGTAGGTATCTCCCAACCTTCAGTAAGCTGTGGATTCCAGTCAATCAGAGGTTTACCAAGCTGATCAATACAGAAATTTTTATAATACTGCACGTTCCCCACCGCTGTAAATGCTGATCGTCTCTTGATGTCAGATGATTTCAACGTTTTGCGGTCTTCCTCGAGCACAATGGCAGAAGTCTGTTAACAAGCAAAAAGAGAAGCATGCTTTTTAGGATGTTAGTTTACATTCCATATATTGTATATGTACAACACAATGACTGACAATAGCAACACAGTTCTCAACGCACACGAGATGGTTTTTAAATTTTGGTCAAAACAAGAATGTACATATACGTCAGCATAGGCAAAGCCAACGTGGACCTGCAGGAGGCCAAGAAAATGCATGAATGGTTTGATTCTAAATTGAAAATCCAATCACTATCGTTAGCTTTTCTACTAATCAATGATCTGACATACCTGTGGATGCGGCTGTGTCTTATCAAAACTGGCTCCTTCTCTCCTTGGTGGATTAAATGTAAGTCCCACTATGAAGTTTTCCAGTTCTTGTTGATATTTTCTGTAGCAGAACAAAGAGACAATTTTTATATTAACTCAGCCACTAATTCAGTTAATTTTGAGATGAAAGATCTGTCAGTTGTTGATCAAAGTTGAGTGCGCACAGTGTTTTGTATATTTTAAGTTTGCATGTACACTGTGTTATGTTACACATAATACATATTTACTACTCAGTCTACTGCATAGTATAAAAACAGAAAATGTTATATTACAGATAAATTCTCACAAGTTAAGCATCTACAATCCCCATCATCATGAAAGTGGTGTCTCCTAACTTCCCAGCGAAATATGTAGCTAAAGCATTAATAATGTATTTAACCCTTTAGGGTAGGGTTAAGTTTGTTTTGACAAAGTTTTGTATAAACAAAATTATAAACTTTGCTACAGGTAAACCCCAGGAAGGGAGAGGCACCTAAACCAAATTATATTTATGTTACATGTATGTGTACATTTTAAAGAAAAGATCACTTTTTTGTAATTTCCGTTGCATTATTTTGACCATAGACAACTCATTTATAAGCACATGTGCTTCTGATAGATCAAATGCAGTAATTATATTTACAGCTCAATAGATCAGTGATAAATCTATTTTAAATCAACTTCAACCCAGTGAATATTACATTTTGCAGCACTCTGTATAGCTTACTTGGTGATGTCATTATTCATAAAAACAACTTGTGCTACTGGTCCATCTAAGCCTTCATCACCGATTACCATTCCACTAAAAAATAAGGGACCAAACAAAGGTGAAACTCAATAGTGTCAGTTATTCAATGATAATTTCTTATGTAAATTCTTATCAGCACAGAAGTGCACTATTTAAGATACATCATGTTGAGAATTGAATTGAAAATCTCATAATATATTTTATTAAATGAATAATACCTGGTTTTGATTAACAATCGTAATTTCTGATGCAACTGCTGATGTGTGGAGTGTTAAGGAGATAAAGATAAATGTGTCGGTCTGGCACCAGGGAAGTTGTGGGTTAAATTCCAGGTGCCAGTTGGGTTGAGGTACGCAGGGCTGTAGTGGTGGACATCTATCAATTGAACGTGTCCCTGTACACACAGCATACGCAGGACTATATGTCAGACTATGCCCTGTAACTATTGTATACTCTTTTTGAGCAGAGGACATACGACAAATTATATTTAAATCTGAGTCTGGAACTACATGTAACACATTTTAAATTGATAGTTTAAGTTTCAGGCGAAATGATCATTATTTAAACGCATGTCATCACCCACAGAGGATAAAAAACAGAAAACATGTTGCTTAATAATTTGAGTAGGACACTATGTAAATTATTCCCCCATTGTATAGATAATGATACATTTCCCAGCTATGTCAAAATACAACCGTAACATTTTGACGATTCTGAGGCAGAAACAAGTCAAATGTGTATTGTTAAACCATTGAGGTAAAATAGAAGCAGGCAGTCGACACTCGTGTATTATTGGACGTGTAACTTGGGGTCAGTCACGTAACAAACTGCCATATTAGTAAAGGATATTTTCTTTACGCAGTCTGTTTATTTCCTCGTTCAACGTGCCCAGTGAATTCTCTGCTGCTTCAGCTACCTCTTCTGACTCATCGCTACTAGAATTACCGTTTTTCTCGAACTGCTGGAACAAAGAATCGTCACCGAAAACATTACCCTCGGTCATATTACCCGCCATCTTGGATTGTGTTCTGTTGTTTACTCTTTTACGACACCGGTTATTATGACCATTTCTATTTAGTATATCAACAGACTGTGGCCTGTTTTCTTTTCAAAACAAATATTTGCTTACTAAATATACGTGAGTAGGTTTTTTGTGATTATGATTGAGTTTTGGTTTTAAATTGCGACATAGTTATGCCGCAAAATATGCACCAGAATGCTGTGTAATTTCCAAGAAAGCACTGCGAAGGAAATGGGTCATCCGGGTTCAGACCTTATTTAGCCAATGAGTATGGCACATAGCTCGGTAGTCAACAAGAGTAACTCGCCTCCTTCGTTTTTACCTCTGTCATTCCTGAATGTAGGTGCTAAGCGAATGAGATATGTATACTTTCTTGCTCCTTCGTCTGCTTACTTGGAATGGCCGGAGACGGTGAGTGCATAATGAACTTGAATAAATCATGGAATCAATCAATATTTCACGAGTGTGAAGACTGTACGGTTCGATTTACATGTACGTACGATCATAGACCTTAGAAAACCAATGGTACGTCTATGATACGATTCACGTCCGATTGATACTCCATTGAAATACCTTCAATCCATACAAATGTTTATATATAGCAATTTGGGCCACTGTAGCAATATTTTTGTGCGGAAAAAATAGGAATCAAAACTTCTAATACTTTAATCATTTTATTCTCTCTATTTTCAAATATAATATGTACAGCATCTTTCTGGAATGATTTTAATGGTTTTAGCAGGGAATTCAATATTTGTCAGGATCATCAGTCTAAATTAATCAACTTTAATCTCATTTAAACTACAGTGTAGTTTACAAATTCTATTTTCAAAGGATGTCTTTGTTTGGGTATGTCTTTCTCTGAACTGTGGTTCTTTTTTTCTAAATTTGGACATAATTTTTTTTTTTTAGTATTTAATGTAGCAAAGTAAGGTTCAAAACTACAGTTGTTTTTGAACTTTGCATACATTCTCAACCACTGCACATCATGTTCTTATATAAAATTCATAGAATTTTTGTTGAAAATCAGTCATTTCTGGCCCCATCATAAGACTTGATTATCACAGTAGCTGTGATTTTGTGATTCTCTATTGACTTTTAGTCGGTTTCTTGATCGCATATGCCAGTCAGACACTGACAAATGAGTAAACTGACACAGTTGACATGGGGCTCGAGAATCACAGGTCAAATAAAATTGGAAATAATTATTTTGACCAAAATCACTGATCATGAATACTGCCTGCTGTGAAATGTCTGGTTTATATATAAAACAGCACAAACATTTTGTAAATCTCAAATGAAATGTGAAAATAACCAATCACAATGCCATAGTTGATGAATACTCCCTGTATAGGTTGTCACACTTGTTTGCGTTTTTGCATTCGGATAAAATGCAAAGATAAAACCGTAACGTTGTTTACTGTTGCTGTTATTAACATTTCCGTGTCCCGGTTAATAAAACAACCTTATGGGCAATATTGCCACTGCAGATTGTGAACTAGTGTTTATTAGTGTTTATTATCTGACATTTGCATGCTGGATGACAAAATGGTAAACAAATGATATACTGTTATACTGCCTATAGAATTAGTTTGACCTTTGACCCATCATGAAAAATTTCCTGCTACCTGGAAATACATTTAACAGTTTAAACATTCTGTTTAAACATTTAGTGGCGATACAATTTGTACTATTCAAAATATATCTGTGAATGAATAATTTCAAGTAGTGAATGAATTTTATGGAATGTGTACTTCCCATAAAGTAGTCATGATTATAGGAAAGACGCAGAGACTCATGGGAAACGGGTATTACCAAAAGGCTTCTCCAAGACAGTAAAAGTTTATTCTTCTGATTTGAATGTAAAAAACATTCCTACTTTTCTGAAATGCATAGTATTAAGTATGAGTTGAACAGAAATATAATTATTATATTAAAATATTAATTAGTATGCATATGTGAAAATAAATATTGATATTACATGTATACTTGATTTGTTTATTTTTCAAGTTACAGCATGCATCTATCTCCTACCTTTTTGTGAAACAATATTTTTGAAAAAGAAATGATAGTTGAACACAGTTGAAAACAAATAACATTGGCGTAAATGGTCCACTATTTTTGACCACCTTTCCAAGTTGCACTTTTTCTGATTACTGAGACAAACTTAACAGGCTTTCAAATATGTTTTTATTGACTCTACAGGATACAGCTGTACCATTATTCTTAGCATCTGATGTGCTGTCTGGTAGTTCTGTTGGCACCGAGAATCAGCCAAGGGTTCATGCCAGGTTTGCCAAGAAAGGACTAGCAACAAAACTGACTTTCCAAGAAGGTAAGAATGGCATACAAAGCTGAAAATTGGACTGTAAGTGGAGAGGATCATTAGAAACTGACAGAAAAAATGTATTTATAACAAAAAAATCTACACAAAACATATTTGCACAGTATTTCTACCCAATGTTTCAAGTGACTAAGGGACGACGTCAAAAGATCGATGTCGGATAAAAAAATTAATTCCTTTAGTTTTTTTCCAAACCCCCCTACCCCCCACTGAAACTTAATTGATAAATATTGGTCATGGCGTCAGACTACATTCACCATTAAATACAAATTGATAATCAGACAGTAGTATTGCATAGCAGTTGGTTGTCGGGTGGGTGTAAAAAGATTTTACAAATGCACCTCATTTGACGCACAGATTTACACTCGAACCAAACCATTTTTCTGTTTTTTTTCCCTTTTCGGTTATTTCTGTCCATGATTGGATAGAAAAAAAAACGAACTACAAATACTCCAAGATTTTTTTGACTTCATTAAAAAATAAAATCGTTTTTGTAGGATGGAAACTTTTTGAGGT